CAATAAAACACAGCAATAAGGGTTCTTAGAATTTCCCCAGAGAGCTCAACAATAGTTTCAAATGAAGGAGTAGGCAAATATTTAATCTAGGATGTCACTTTATGAAGTGAGCTGTGCCGTTGTGCTTAGAGAAATGGGGCATTGTGTTTCCCTAAAACTGCCACATCACAAGGCATGTCTGACCATCACATGTTGAACCAGATAGTACGCCAACAGTAGAAGAGCTGTCCCACAGATCGTACACTGAATGTCTCAGAACAGAGGTTTTCAGGATATTAATGTTCACCAATGAAAGGAAATCGGACCACAGACCGAGATGCTGGTAAAGCATAAAGATCATCTTCATGGACGCCAGCAGAGACGCCCCACTGTTGTGAGCTCTAACTTCAGTTGTGCCCATGGGACGGTCCAGAAGGACAAACACAGATGGGCTCTTCTGCCTCCAGACTTAAAAGCGCCTCTTAGGCCACATTTACTGGCTCTGTTATCACTGCTGGCATGAGGCTGGAAGACTGGAGGCAGCAGCAGAAGGTTTTCCAGCCTCAATGTGTGACCCTGGCGTGGTTTCAGCACACAGGCGGAGATAAAGCCCGTCTGTTTCTCCAGACTCATCTGCATTCTGCTCATCTCCATTCAGTCAGGTCAGATGGAGGCGGAGAACATCTCAACCAGCAAATAGAGACTATAGCGATAATCCCATCCCTTCAATCTTTTATCTCATCAAAACAAGAAGTTTTTATTAATATTATCGAATTTGTGGGACACAAAATCCTTCGTCATCTTTACCGTTGACATGCTGCAGCCATGTCTCAAATTCCTCGTTTTCCAGCCACTTTTGTTGAGATTAGCATTTTCCCCATTCTCTAGCTCCTTCTCCACCTTGAGCTTCTTTTCCATATGGCTTTACGATGAACCGGCAGTAGATCCGCGCAAATGTATCTGATGAAATTGTTTTAAATAAACTTTTTTTTTTTATAAAGCATTTTAAATGCCATGACAATTACATTCAATGAATCACAATGCCAATTAAGGCCTTCATTTAAAAAATAATAATTTAATGACTTTTAATGATCATTAATGACCCACAGAAACCCTGATTAAAAGACCGAAGGACTAAGCTGACTGGTCATGGGGGAGCTTTGTGTCCGTCCAGCACCTTAAACCTCAGGAAACCCATTGAAGTCTGTAGTTGTAACGGGGCCAGCATGTTACTGCTGAGACCTAAAAGTCGTAGGGAAGCAGCTATCCTAGCTGTTGCATTTCCAAATTATCCAGAGTGGTGCCCGACTTTACACGAGTGAATAAAGTGAATGTGATTGGTTGTTTATCAAGAGGGCAGGATTATTGTGGGAGAAGATTCGTAAGCAAGTTTTGTTGTAGCCGATGTCTCGGCAGCATCTTGCTAACCAGTTAGCAACTTAGTGCTAGCAGGTTCCCAACGGGAAATTACATTGGGACCAAGTAGCAACGAGGAGAGTTTTTTGACGGAGGTTGTGGACGAGTCCCCTTCTTCATACATTGTTTATTAAGAGGAGGAATGAGGGGAAGAAGATGTTGTGGAAGAGGACACCAGGAGCTTGGTTTGGTGTAGAAGGCTTACAGCCGTTTCCTCCCAACGCTGCCAGTTCTGTTAGCTCTATGCCTGCCGAAGACACACACGTCCATCTAAATGAACACTGGGACGGAACCCAATTGGAAAGAAAATTATTCTTATTTCAACCGTCGTGTATATTAGCTGTGACACATGAATCAAGATGCTACAACATAAAAAATTTGATTGAAAGATGAGCGTTGATATATGATTGGCTAAACTTAGGTGTACAAGCTGACATATAATTAACTGTCCTGCATAAGATAACGGAAAAAAAAACACAGATTTTAAGACAGAATTTTTTTTTATAGAAATTTTCAAAATTTTGGGGTAATATCATCTGATAAAGTGCAAATGTATATACATGTTTAAGCCAGAATGATTTTGACATTTAAATAGGACTTCCCTACAACTTTGTTATCTAATCTTTTTATGATGTCAAGATCGGATCCTCCCAATTAGAAAGCCATTATATCACAACCATGTGCTTTTTTGAAGCTATAAAAACAAGTAATCATGTGCACAGAGTCAAAAGCTCCCATTGTAATGTGAACTCTGTTGCTATAAACAAGGGCAGGTAGAAAGAATTGCCAGATCATCGAAATATCTGAAACCTAAGGCTGTCAGCTTATTTTAAAGGGTAAACAAGTCAGTCTGTTCATTAAGAGTCTTTTTCTGGAAGGATCATCAGTCACCTTGGAAATTTAACAGTAATCTGAAAGATATGATCTCACATGCCCAATTTGTGAAGAACACAGTGTTTATCTGCTAAACACGCAGCCCCAGCTCACAGCAACGTGCCCATAGCAACTTGTGGGCCTGTCTCCTAGTACCACTGGAGCTCCAAATAAAACCAAATACAAGGTGAGATATCTTTTGCTGCAAAGAGGGAGGGGCAGATGACCAAAGTTAGCCACAGTTATAAACCTTTAAAAGCTGAGATGATGCAACCTTTACTGCAGGATGTGAAATATGACAGAGGGCGTTCAGCTTGTTGTTAAGTTGCAATAAAAGACTCCTCTAAAGCCATTTAAAGTTTCTATAACAATTAGTACTTCTAGTAGACCACCTTCTATGTTGGGACATTTTAAGAATTTGCATCAAACCAACCTTAATATCCAACATGGCTGCCATGTAAGGGTACCTGCAGTTACTGAAGTGTTGTTTTGTGTTTCTAAAGGTTTGTCTATTATTGAATCTATTGAAAAAACAGTTTCTTATCCTTTTTTGATGACATCATTAATGACTGCTAACAAGTGATAGGCAATTAATTAAGCTTGCAATGTAAATGCAATTTTCAAAAAAAATGGAGGCGCAATTTTGGTCTCATTGCATTGAAAATCTAGCCATTTTATTTTTAAAGTTGGTTTGTATTGAGAGGAAGTTGGCAAAGTCCTGTGGCATGGACTCTGAACAAGCAAGCATCTACATTTATGGTTGATGCAAATTAAAATTGAAATAAATATAAAGATTTTAATTCAAAAGGAAAATCTCAATCTTCAATTAATCGATTAAAGGTTCCTTACAGAAGATTTTTTTTTTTTTTTTTTTTACAAAATTTATAATCCAGTCAACAATTAACTGATTACTATATTAGTTGATGATTATTTCAATATTTTATTAATCTGGTTAATTGTTTCATCCCCATGAGAATATAAGCTCAGAATATGTTCTTGGTTCATTGCTCCAGGTACGCTGGGGAAGATTCATCCAGGAAGCTTTCCTAATTCATTTTGAATTAAGAAAGCTTCCAGGATGGGAAGCGTCTTCAAACTTGGAAACAAAGTCCAGTAGATTGTTTTCAATTTTCTTTTTTTGGGAACATCTTCAGGGATCAGTTAAAAGCTTAAAATATTCCCAACTGCACTTCTCCTTCGAGATTATTATGTGCACCTCCCATTAGAGATTTTACACACCTTCTAAGAAGAGGTAGCAAAGTACAAATACTCCTTAAGTACACTTTTTAGGTATCTATTCTTTACTCCATTATTTATTTTTCTTCCTACTTCTGACTTCTATTCATTACATTTTCAAACAAGTATCTGTACTTTCTATTCCTCACATTTTTAAAACCAATGTTACTCGTTACAGATGCAGATCTTGGCGTCATCCACATCTAGTGAAAACTAGTGTAATTGGATGAGTCATATAACGCAAAAACTCATTGGTTAGTGAAAGGAAATCATCAGAAGCAAGCAGGTGTTCTTCAAACTGCAAACGTGAATTGTCTATGCCATGCTACAATGTTGGATTCAGAAAAAGATGTTGAAATGTCTGAAAGGTCGGACACCTATCAGGAGATGGAGACCAACAAGAACTCCCTCATCCTTGGCCCTATCTCAAAGAATTTTTTGAAAAAGTCGAAAAATTGAACTTTCAATTTATATATTGGCATCTGGTTGTTTTTTTTTTTAAAGGTTACTTTATACTTTTATACTTTAAGTAGTTTTTGGAGCACATACTTTTTCACTTTTACTTGAGTAAACAGGTCAAGTTGATACTTCAACTTTTACTGAAGTGTTTTTAAACTGCAGTATCCATACTTCTACTTAAGTAAATGTGTGTATTTTTGACGCCACTGGTCAGCCCAATATAGTCTTTTTAACCTTTATCCCACAATTCAGTTCTGGGTGTGTTTCTTTTAATTACCTTGCAATTGTTTTATTTATTTATTGTTGTTTTATAACTCTCCATCATAGCTGGAGAACTGTGCTCCAATAAACAACTAAATGAAAAAAACATTTTAAATTGTGCTTTTAATGTAATGTTCCTACAGCTTTAAGCCTTTCTCTCTGATCAATGCAGCAGCCCCTACCACTACTACACCCCCCCTTCACCGTTTTCCCGCCCTGGAAGGGTCCACATGCTTCCCTGCTGAGGTGGAGGTGCAGAAACAGGCCTGGAAATAACTGCTACTCAGTTTATTGTTGGAAGAAAATGTGAATTTATACTGCCTGACAAACTGTCTTAAACAAAACACTTTGCCAAGTGATCCAATAATCCAAAAATATTTCAATTAATATTATACATTTCCAGTATAATTGAGCCCTTTACACACAAACGCAGAAAATGGTACTTTGTCGTCCATTGTTGGCTCTATTCAGGCTGACCGCAGTGAGTCTTTGTTGACGCCCAGTTTTTCCCTCACCTTTGATGGGGAAACCTGCACCCAGCTCTCTGCACACTCCACATTATCAAACCTATTCAATATAAATGCGTCTAAAAGCAGAAAAAGACGTCATGTCGGATTAAAAGTCATCCTAAGGGGTTTTAATGGTTAACTAAAATGTTTTATTGATACAAAACAGCAGTTTTGCTTTCCTTGTGTGATAGCTGAGCTTCAATAGTGAAAGAAAAAAACTGAAAATGAGCGTATTTGTTGAATAAAATGCTTGTATTTCAGTCTTACCTTTACAAAGAGCTCGATAACGGGCTCGTCGTCCGCCTTTACTCCGTTTTGTGGCACCGACAGCGACATTGCAGCTGCTTCTTTAAAAGTTTTGGACAAAAATTACTTTTTTTTTTCTTTGCTACCACGCCCGAAACAGTTCTTTTTTCCCCTCCAAACTCCTTTTTTTGTTGTTGGTAGTTTTGGTACCGTAACCTCGTGGATAATTTCTTCCCCTCCGATGGAGGAGCAGCGGCAGTTAAGAGGCAGACAAAAGAGGGCAGCGGGCTCTGCCAATACAACGGCTGCTTGAAGCGTCCACTAAGCTAACTGGGCTACAAAACCATCATTAATGAGCGAAGCTGTCTCTGTTGGTCCTGTGTGGAGAGTGATGATGGCTCTGGGGGAACGGGAATACTGAGCAGCGTGATGTCACTGAGAAATGTGGGAGGGAGGGGAAGCTCCAGCCTGAAGATGGTGAACCCATAGATTATGGATATCTATGGGTGAACCCGGGAGCCGCTTGGTGGCTGCAGCTGCAGCTATGGCAACACATTTTACCATATAATACACAACGGAGTTGTTAGATGATCTTGCGCGCCAACAATTCACAATATTTAAGACATAAGAGACTTAGATTGTACACTGATCAAGGCACTTTACTGATCACCAGATCATACAGTCAAATTGATTAAAAGTTTTCTAAGGAAAACCAGCTGATTGCATGGACTCATTCACTTGAATGCAATCCCTCACACTAGGCATGCTTGTAGAGACAGTGGAGAGGAAAAACTCACTTTTAACAGGAAGGAGAGTACATCCAGCCAGTCAGTCAGAGAAACAGGACTACTCATAACCTGAATAATTTTGAGTCAAACCAACTTCCATTTAACCAGGTAGTTTGTTTCTGATAGGAAAAATATAGAAATTGGATTCTGGAAAAGTATGAACTTATAAAAGCTTGTCAGGTCTCCTTGCTAACACCCTGATATTATATTAAGCCATATCCAGTATTTCACTTTAAACGTTTTTGTTTTTTTAAGGATACAAAAAAATTCAAATCAAATATTTTAATGTTATTTTTGTCAGTGCTCCCAGAACATTTAGCTCAATTAAAAAAATCATTCAACTTTTATGCTTAACTTTTGATCAAACTCGCTTGAAAAACATGAGATGTGTGGATGCTGTTAGCTCCTTTAAATGTGGGGTAAAAAGTTTAAAATGGACCGTCACATTTAACTTTATGAAATGCTTAAAAAAAAAAAAAACTCTCAAAGGGTATTAAAATGATTACAAAATAAAAAGGGTACCCTAAATATTGTTGCTTATCAGCCTTAGATGGTAATCTGCAAAACTGAGAAATTTGAAAGGCATTATAATGCAGTAAAAAAAGGCAGATAAGGTAAAAGAAGCAAAAAAAAAAAAGGAAATGAAGGGGAATAATACAACAAAGACAAGAGGACATAAGGAGAAAAGACAGATCAAGAGGACTTAAAATGAGGACGTAAGCATAAGTTGAAATTGAAAATAGAGCCAGGAAAAATAGGTTATTAGTAAAAATCAATTTTCTGTAGGACATGAAAAACACGGGTGGGTGTGCCTTTAAAATGTTCCTGTCCCAAAAACTTTACATGTTTAAAAAAAAAAAAAAAAAAAAAAAAAAAGGTTCAACACCTTTTAAGCTATTAATTAAAATTTGTAAAATTGTATTAAATAGTAAAATTCAACCTAGTTAATCAAAATAAGCTTCAACCTGCAGAACATCTTATTACCTTGATGTAGGATGGAAATTAAAATCCCTAATCAGAGCAACATGCCAGAGCTTTTCAAAACTACCAGGCTGCGATTCTTTTTACTCTGTACATAATTGTATTTCTTTAGCAGATAAACATGAGTAAACATGGTTTCCAAGCAGAAACACTCACCCAGTCTTAAAAAAAGCTTTAATTCTGAAAGGATGACAAGAGAAAAGGCTACTAAATACAAATCATACACTATAGCAGTCCCACAGAAAACAGCTGTTCAGGGGTATCAACACAAATTGCATATCGATCAATTTAGAAAAAAAAAAAAAAAAGCATGAATCACATTTAATTGCTTTTATTTTCAAATAAGACAATTTCAAAGTCAGAATAAAGCAGGTTAAATGATGTTCCAACAACCCAGGAAAGTCAGAATATTTAAAGTCTCTTGGGTGAGCAGGGCCCTGACGCTGGGTAACAGTATCTTATTGAGTGGTGTTAGTTCCCCTTCACTCATCATATGGTCAGCGGTCCATGCACATCAGACATATTAACACACATGCAATCCTTTCTCAAATGTACGACTGCACATCAACGCGCATCATTAACCTGCCCAACTCAAACCTCTGAAATTAAAATGTTCTTAAACTGTCGTCAACACAAGTTTTACAGTTTAAACTATCTAATGGATTCATTTATTAAAGAAACTCACTCTTCAGAATGTACCAAACCAGTAAAAAGAACCAAGGATCAACAATTTGTACATTCTTAAGCTGAACCTAAGATGATAACAAACATCGAAAGTGAAAGGGAAAACTCAAAGGCGTCTTGTTCTCAGGACATCTCTGAGGGAGACAGCTGGGCCTTCCTCATTGAGCGCAGGGCCTTTTCTCGGAGGTGTTTCTCCAGATCATCTAAGCTGTCGTCAACTTCGCTCTCTGATTCCTGCACAATATCAATGCATCTTTTAAATTTAGGAAACATTATATAGAAATTATACCATTATTGGTAGAAAAAAAAACCAAACAAACCTACAAGTCCTTTACCTTTCTTGAATCACCATCCTCCTCTGCAGCCCGACTTTCTTGAACGTCGCTGGTCACAGCGGCACTGCTCTTTTCCTTCTTATGCTTCTTGTGCTTTTTGTGCTTCTTATCTTTCTTATGTTTCTTTTCCTTCTTCTTCTTCTTTTTCTTCCCACCACCATCCACATCAGAGTTCTGCAAAAGATTTTAGATAATGCTATCAAATGTCACACGTATTATACAGATTTCAACTTTGTCAACCCCCATCAGAGATTATTTCTTTTTTTAATCACAGGTGCATCTGAATAAATAAAGAGTCTCATCAAAAAGTAAAATTACATATGCAAGACCATTAAGAAGGATTTTTAAATATAGAAGAATGGCCTATTGAAAATGATTTCCATTTACTGTGCAGTGTATTCACTGACTACTTGGTTATGGTTAATTCATAGGAAATCTGCTGCTAAGGGTCAATCAGAAGCTCAGGCTGCTTCGATTACAGGTGTGAAGAAGTCATTTTCATGTAAACATCTGCAAAAACAAAGCAACCCTACAAAGAAAAATTTTCCCTAGAACTATCAAGCCTTCCACATCTGTCTGTTTTGCTTTGCTGAAGCAAATCATTGCTTGGAACCAACAGAGAGCTGCAGCCTATGGTTTGAAACCACCAGAAGCCACTAGCTGGAACCTGGATCAATCTACTGATTGACAGGTTGATCAAGAAAAAAAATACGTTAGGAATAACCTGAACATCAGAAACTTAACAGAGCTGCTGTTGAAAACATTTCTGAGGACTAGACCACTGTTGATATTGTAAAAAAGAAACAAAAAAAATCCCTTTTGGTTCCTCAGAAAGGACACTGCTATGGATTAGCAACAAGCAAGCAAACAGAAGCACACTGATCCAAACAAGCATTATAATAAACAATGTGAACACTTTGAATGATGTCTATCATTTTGTCATCCAGGGGAGCATTAGTTCAACTTTATATGCACATCAAAATGGGTGCCCAGTTGGACTCTGCTTAAAGGTGTTTGACTAGTTAAGACTATAAAACCATTCTGCTTTTTTGAAGTCGTAGGGAAACAGCTGTTCTAAACATTACATTTCCGAATTCTCCCAAGTGGTGCCCGACTTTACACGAGTGAATTAAGTGAATTTCATTGGCGGAAAGTACGCAAGCAAGTTTGATTGTGGCCGGTTTCTCGGAAGCATCTTGCTAACCAGTTAGCAACTTAGTGCTAGTAGTTTCCCAATAGAAAATTCCATTGGGACCAAGTAGCACTAAATTGGTGACTTAGAAACAACGCTGTCAAGGAACGCTATGGACAGCGGAAACATGCAACAGGAGGAGTTTTGTTTTGGAGGTCGTGAATGAGTCTCCTCCGTCATACAATGCACCCTTTTTTTTTAAACCACGACCTTTGACCTTGTCTGCATCCGAAGCTCTGGTGTCTCATCTTCCTAATACTAATATGTTCTCGATGGGACTTCAGTCAGATAACGGTGGAGAAATGCAGCACGGCTAAAGCAGGAAGTGGTACTCTGTGTGGGAAAATTAAATCAGCCTCCCTATGCAGCCTGCTGCCAAAGGGAAGTGGTTTGAATCATGTACTCTGGACAACAGTCCAGACAGGCAGGTAAGATGCTGCTGATATTTGCCTCCATTTCAGGGATGGAAAAATCCCGTCTTAAGACATTGCTCTTCATACTTTTTAGAGAATTTATGGGGGAGTTCAAAAGATAAAGTAACAACCGAAATAAATGAGTTTTTATATTATTCTTGACTAACCTTGCCTGGAGACTGACTGCCAGAAGCACTGCTAGCCTTTTTAGCAGGGGGTGGTGGTGGAGACCCACTCACAGAGCGAGAAGGTGAGGGGGAGGCAGAGGCCGGACGCTTCTGAGCTGCAGGCTGAGGGGAAAGTGATCTGGAGGATGCTCTCCTTATCGGCTTTGGACTGGGAGAGATTCTATAAACAAAGGAAAGATAGTTAGCAACAAATTATGTAAAACGATTACAAAAGATCTGCCACTTCTGGATGAAAGCTTTTTCTATCTGTACCGTTTATTCCGTGGCTCTGGGGTGCGAGACACCCTGCGGATGAGTTTACTGCCCTGTGGAGGGGACAGCTGTCTTCGCTGGTTGGACGGAGACATGCTGGGAGATTGAAAGCGTCTTTGGGGACTAGTGGATCGCCTAATAGGGCGACTGCGGTTCGCCGGCGACCTGGAGAGGCGTCTAGCAGATCCAACAGGGGATCGAGTGTCCCTGCTTGGCCTGGCAGACAGCGGGCTCCTCCTGTGTCTCGGAGGAGAAACAGAGGAGGGAGGAGAACGTCTCCGCTGAGGAGGAGAACTTCTACGTTTAGGCGACCTGGAGGAGCGCCGCTTAGGACCAGGAGAAAAGCGTTTCGTGGGGGAATTGGACAGCTTCCTCTTCTGTGGGGGCAAAGGTGAGGGGCTGTAGCGACGCTGGATAGGAGGAGAATAACGCCTGGGAGACGGAGACCTACGACGCGGAGGAGGGGAAGGAGACCTGAGAAGAGAAGTATTTGTAAAGCAAACCACTTCAAAACTATTGATAGGTGACTATTTTCATTACAGCAACAGTACCTGCGTCTAGGAGGGGAGGGAGATCTCCGACGTCGCGGTGG